TTAGATTAAAATTTTAGCTGAAAACCAATCACAACATACTGGGCCATCTGACCAATCAGAGCAGAGTACCAGATGCCTAAACTAACCTTTAAAGACACTATGAAGGAAGAGCTGATGCTTGCAATGTATATAATGAGGAAAATACATAACTTGGATGGCTGCAAACCTACTATAGGAGACCCCCAAACCAAAATGGGACTTTTAAAATAAAATAATAGAGGAACATCAAACCCAATGTTTCCCATCACACCGAGTGGAGAATGTGTTCAAAAGTGCACAGATCTTACTGTGGTAATTCTTGCTTTCTCAGTGTCCCTCGGGATTCAATTATTAGTTCATGTAGAGAATCACATGCTGTTTAGGGGCCGAGCGGTGTGAGAGGTGGAATGCTTTGAGCCTGGCTGGAGATTTGGTCAGAAATGAGAGGTATTTTGCAGTCTCTGTCACGCAGAGCCAGGAAGAGAAATAGGAGCGCCCGGTGCGGGGCTTCTAGGAGGTTGTAGACAAGAGATTAAGGGGGGCAGGTGGTACTTCTCTTTGTTTGCCTTCTCGCAGGGTTTCTGTTTCTCCAACTCTCAGACTTTGTGTCATATGAGCTTTAGAGTTGCCTGTAAGTGCACTGTGCGCACCACTGCATTGGTGAAGTGTGACAATTGACCTCACTTAAGCCAATTATTACTCACATGTGGCAATTAGCGAGTGTTAATGCTGGTCGCAAGAGTATATGTGTGTGTGGTCCCTGCGGGACTTCTCATCTGGTCCACAATACCTCTACGTGTCCCTTGTGCACCCTGCTAGGATTGAAAGGACTATACAGAGCTATTGTGGGTGTGTGTTTGGTGACTGAGTAGACAATGTGGAGTTCGTTCACAAGTCCATTATCAAAAAAAAAGATTAGTCCTCTCTGTCTTCTGTTGAAGTATTCCTGGCCCTGGGAGATACAATCAGACAGACACATCTCACTTCATATTCGACTCTCAATCTCTCGAGCTGGACTGTCTGGCAGATTCCTGGCTGTTCAGAATGGCTGATTTGGCTGAAAGAGCCTTAGTTTGAAGCTGATTTTTGAGGCAAGGCAAGTGCCTTATCTATAGGATCTTTATTTGATTCTTTTACAACGTTTAACCTTGTATTAGGTCTGGCCGATTAATCGAATCGAAATCGCAAACGCAATTGAGCAAAGCTGCGCTTGTTGTGCAGGTCTTCTCAAGGAAGCAAGGTGTGATTTGTAGGAATGGCTGACGCGATACTGATGTTTCAACGGCGAGATCCCAAACAGCAGATCTTTCGAAAAACTGCACCAAAACATTTCGAAACACCAAGGTCACATAACTAAATTGATTCAAAGGATCGTTAATCACAAGCATTTTAAGACTTGGCAGATCTGCATTTAATTGACCGGGTTGGAAACAAAACACTGGTTAACCTGTTAGCCAGCACTCAATTGTGGGGTTTTACACCTACCTAACTTTAAATAGTAACAGTTCCTGACTCCAGTAAGCTACAAACACAACTTATGTATCATTGGAAAGAAGACACTTTGAGCTTTACTGTGGTAAAAGGAGAAGTTGTATGTTAAAAAATATAAAAAGTTATACATTATGAAATCATGAGGAAATTTTTTTTGTTGTTGTTTAATTTTAGTTTTCTATATAGAAACACAGGAAAACATTAATGTAATGTAATGTCATATTTCATATGTTTACATTTTAAATTTGATGAAGATAGCATGCAAAATGAGATTACTGTAAAAAGTTTTCTGAGGCTATGTCGATGTCCTTCTGTCCCTCACCATCAAAGGCACTTTCTCAAAAATCATCTTCCCAAGTTAAACATTTACAGTTGCTGAATGATTTGGTCTACATTCAAAGTTTATGTGTCTTAGGCCCCGTTTAGACTAATGCGTTTTAGTTTGAAAACGCATAAGTTTTGCTACGGTTATGCCATCCGTCCACACTACGCCGGAGTTCTCGAGCGCCGAAATGGAGCGTTTCGAAAACGCTGGAGAGGCCGTTTTCATTCTGAAACGCTGCTGCTCCGTCTCAGTGTGGATGGGGAAAGACGGAGACATCTGAAAACGGAGGCGGGGCTGCAGACATTCGCCTCTCTGATTGGGGCTTTTCCTCAATATTAAGTAGCCTAACACACAGTTCAGTCCTGCATCTTCTCCGTGTAAGTTCAGACTTCGCAAGTTTGATCAAGGCTGCATCTCTTCTTCTCAGTTTGATATGGAAAACATACCGAGGACACGCGTCAATCTTCACAGGGAACAGTGTACTTTATAACTTCATTCACATCACCCTGGCTACGTTGTTTCACTTTCTCAACAATAAAATGTAAACTTGATATAAGGAACTGCCTATTTTTATTTTAATATTAGCAACTAAACAGACAGCAGAAATGTTGAGGCGTCGTGCTGCATATATGAGCGTCATCTTCACTGTGTGGATATTTATAACAAAACGGAGCCGATAACAACTGCCTCCTTTCAATTTCAGTGAAAATACGAAACACACCCTCTCTTTTGCTGAGTATCAGTTTTAAGAATCGATAATGGCCATTTTAAAAGTATAACATACAATAAGTTTATACATTATAGGAAATAAAGGCAAGCGATAAGTCAATATACAGAATGTACGTGGTTACATTAATCATTAACTTATCTTTGCGCTCAGCCAAAACACGTTACCTGAGAACAAGTAATAGATTCCAGTGACCAAAGTCAGGGAATATGTCGTTAGATAAAGACAACAAGATGAATGAAATATCACGTTTAATAGTGAGATTAGATCCAGCGGGAGATGCTTGATGAGAAGTCCGAATAGCAGAGCTCTCATCTGGGTAGAAATGCTGCAGCACTTGCCCGAGAGTGTGTGTGTGTGTGGTCACGTGATGTGCGTTTTCAGCGTTTTGGTGTGGACGGAGAGCAGTTCAGAAACGCTGGGTAAAACGCGAGTGTGGACGCGGATCGTTTTCATTCTAAAAAGCCGTTTTAAAACTAAAACGCACTAGTGTAAACGGGGCCTAAGGAAAGAAGACACTCTGGGCTTTATTATCCATCATCTAGAGTTTATAATGCTCAAAATGAAAAAAAGTTATAGATGCTTAAGTAATGTAAAAAAAAATTCACCGCAATAAACATTTTATTATTTCATAGACAAATATGTGAAATTTTTTCTGGAGCAACACAGCAAAGCAATAGAGCAAAGCTACACATCTCCTGATTATATGCTTTGAATTTGATGCCAATATCATGCAAAATTTAATTTCTGGAATTATTTTTCTGAGACAATGTCTTGTGTTTTTTCCCCTCTCCTTGTTTGTGGAGAAGTCTGATGACTACACATACTGAAGTTTTCACTATTTTTTAATTGTAAAATAATGAGCAGAAATGTATAGTATGAATGATTTATTTGAGCACAAGTAGTACATTTCAGCTACATGACAAAAAACTGAATTAGGATTCTATTGTAAACAATTGTTTCCCCTCTTGAGCAGCAAACACAATTTACTCTGATGCCCATTTATTCATATTTTAATTTCTACAGATAGCTTAGCTTATAGCAGCCATTCAGATGAATGACAAAACATACTGTATGATAATAACAACCATTACCGAAAGATTACCGAAGAGACATTCACACTTATAGGCACAAGCAGGCTAAACACAGAGAACTGAGACGTAAACAATGAGGCAATGAGAGTAAGTTCTCACTGTTAGAAAAACCAAAACTATCAGCTCTCCTCAGAAATAGTCTCCTCTTCGTTTCAAACAATCTTTTAAAACTCTCTTCAGCAGATTACAACTTTTGACGATGCACTTTCTGTTTTCTTTTTGCAAACGAGCCGGAGCCGCGCGCTAGGCGTTAGCCTAAACTGTATGTGTGTGCAGAGATAGCTCACAGTCTCAAGCTCGAATGCCATCATGTGCAAGCGTTCAGAACTCGTGACTTAATACCTTTTATTAATGTTGACTTTTTATGACCAAAACAACAGTTTGTTAAGTTAAAGGTTTGATACTGATTTGAACTTGAAGCGGTGATAAGGTTGAAATATTCTGAGAAGGTCTTTAAAAGGTATTGAAATTATCTTTAGAATTCCTGCGTATACCCTGTCGTAGTGGTCAAATTTCTGGCAAGAGTCTGATCTTCGTTATTTGTCTGATCGGTTACATATCTCTGGTACAGATTTGATCTATGTTAAGGTCAGGACACACCAAGTCAACAGTTGGTCGATGGGCAGCATCTGGCCGTTGGTGAACATCTTTCGGGCTGGTTTGCAAATGGCACAAGTCATGAGGGAAAACAAATAAAAAATATTTACAAAAGATATGGACTATCAGACCTATTTACATTAGTAAACCCCTCTGTGCTGAGGGAGAACTACTGTGAAAAGGGTACATAAATGCTGCTTTGTTTACAGTTTGTATGTGTGCACCGCTAGTTCCGGTGGGTTGTTATCTCCCGACTTGATGCTGGTCTCTATAGAGATCTCAAAAAAATGTATTGTTTTAGCAAATCCTACCCCCATAATTGCAAATGTTCTGCTTGATCTCAGTCTTTCTGTAACCACTTTCCAGGTTTTTTTATGAACTGCTCTCTTGTGCAAAGCTTACATTTCATATATGTGATATTTGTTAGAGGTTGAGTGAGCTTAAGCTGAAAACCCAGTCGGCAGTGGAGTATTTTCCTCCGCTCAGTACTTAAAGGCCAGTGCTGTTCTACTAATCTAATAACTACATTACAGATGTCTCTTGGCAGTAAGGAGCTCATATTGTAAGCCTACACAAAGCTCTGATCTGTCTCTCTTATCTTCAGTGGCAGGCATATTTCATTAATCAGTAGCTGGAGTTGAACTGGGTTGCAAATCACTTGCGTTCACATTTACTTAATCCAGATTAAAGCATTTTTGAATGTATCCGTGTGGACCTGAAAGAACGGACGAGAGCCGGTAGTTTCAAAGACATTGACGTTTTTTTTTTATTCTTTCGGACTCTACAGGTGTGCTAGTGGGCACTCCAATTCGAGCAGCAGTCACGATGGTGGCCCTGTCGCTGAAGATTTGTGTGCGGCAGTGCAATGTGGTCAAGACGATGCAGTTTGAGCCCTCAACTCCAGTTTACGATGCTTGCCGGATTATCCGGGAGAGAGTTCCAGAGGCCCAGTCTGGACAAGGTAAGAGTTCCAAAACATCGCTCCAAGTTTTCCTTAAGTTTTATACTTTTCTATATCTAGTCCTAAAGACCCAAAAGATACAAGTACTGAACACTGCAACCCTTAAAGCCTGGTTTATACTTTTGCGTCAAGAGACCGGCTTAACCCACGGTGCATGCAACGCCCATAACTGTGCGTTTATACTTCTGCGCGCTGTCTCTGTTGGTCTGCATTAACTTAATGCATACTGCATTAACTTCCGAAACGCTAGTTGGCAGTGAGGTGTAAATGTTCCTCTGTGTCGAGTTTCTTCGCTGCTGTTTTACTTTTCCTGAACACTTCCTGGATGTACAAGTGGCTCAAACTCGCTCATTTTGAGGCAGGAACCGGCGGACGTGCAACAACTTTAACTATGAGGTAAACACAAAACAAAACTATCCATCAGGAGCTTCTTCACAGGACTCCACACTTGTAAACAATCGCTCCATCACCATTCGCGCGACTCTCAGTCCCGCCCAGACTGGTCAGCGCTACCAAGCCGACCAATCACAGAGTTTGCGCTATGCGTCGTTGAGACGTGTAGTTACATTTTTTGAGAGGTGCACTTCAGCGACGCCGACGGCCACGGCGAAGGGCTATGCGTCAGCGCCGTAGTACAAGCGTGCGTTAGATGCAGAAGTATAAATCAGCCTTTTCACATCTGTCTGCTTAAATAGACTGTGCAGAAATTAACACTTAAATTTGTTGACAGTTTGAGAAACCTGTCGTAATTAAGTTACTTATGATATGAATAAAAAGGCACGAATATTCTCAATTCAACTGAGTAGCGGCTTAAACCTGGAAACAGTATTCTATACGTCACCGATACGTCATAACTTAACAAGTGGATCCCCCCCAAAAAGTGGAGCGTTCCTTTAATAATGCATGACATTGATAACATCCATGTTTGTACAGAGATTTGTCTCTTTGATTTGGTGTTTACTTCTATGGGACGAGTTGTTGTTTTATTTACAATCTGCAAAACTTATTCCAGCATCAGATTACGGGCTTTTCCTGTCCGATGATGACCCCAGGAAAGGGATCTGGTTGGAATCAGGACGCACCCTTGATTACTACATGCTGCGGAATGGGGTAAGTCACCTTATTAGGCTCTGTTGTAAAAGTTTGTGTTTCCATTGCTTCATTTTAGCACTTATTCCCATCATGCACAGGATGTTCTGGAGTACAAGAAAAAGCAGAGGCCTCAGAAGATCAAAATGCTGGATGGAACCATCAAAACCATAATGGTGGATGACTCCAAAACAGTAGGGGAGCTGTTGGTCACCATCTGCAGCAGGATAGGTGGGTCCTTCCTTTATCCTTTATTATTCCTACAGAAATGTTGGAATAAATGATCATTGTTAGTCACGGATTCGGTTATCTTTCGATAGCACACGTTTTATTATATTATTACTATTATTGATTGTTATATTCGATTTTTAATTGACCATGGGATTTTTTTTCTTTCAGATTACCTTTGTTGTCATTTAATGCTCACCTAAGCTCAATAATAATTTAATTACACAAACTACTACATAACATAAAACTGGGATGCCTGAACCTGAAATGCTGATTTTAGTGTTTTCATTCAAGTTTATTTAGACAAAATAGTCTAAATATTAATGTTAATATTGTATTTATTATTTATCAGCGCATCACCAGTGATAAACAAACAGAACACAATCCTTTATGTTCCGTATTTAATTTATCACCCTTTAGTGTCAAATTTATATTATTTTATTTATTTATTTTATATATTTACTTATATTTATTTATTTTATTTTTTGTATATTTTGATATTGGATGTTTAATGCGTCATAATTTCTATTTGTACATTAAATTGCTTTTGTTGATTGCCAATGCTTTCAAAATAATTTAATAATAATAATAATAATAATAATAATAATAAAGGGGCGAAGCAGTGGCACAGTAGGTAGTGCTGTCGCCTTACAGCAAGAAGGTCGCTGGGTCGCTGGTTCGAACCTCGGCTCAGTTGGCATTTCTGTTTGGAGTTTGCATGTTCTCTCTGCCTTCGTGTGGGTTTCCTCCGGGTGCTCCAGTTTCCCTAACAGTCCAAAGACATGCGGTACAGGTGAATTGGGTAGGCTAAATTATTTGTAGTGTATTAGTGTGTGTGTGTGAATGTTTCCCAGTGATGGGTTGCGGCTGGAAGGGCATCCGCTGTGTAAAAAACGTGCTGGATAAGTTGGCGGTTCATTCCGCTGTGGCGACCCCGGATTAATAAAGGGACTAAGCCGACAAAATGAATGAATGAATATTTAATGATAACAAAATACTAAATACTAAATCATTTTACAAAAAAAAATCATCGGTTGATTATTTTCCCCATAATGGAAGCCTCTTATTTGAACTTAACATTTGATTTTTTTAGTTTTATAAGGGTTAACTTCATTCAAGTTTATGTAAACAAACTAGTAAACCATGTTAATATTGTATTCGCTATTTATCAGCGCATCACCATAATAAATGAACAAAACATATTTCTATATGTTTCGTATTTAATTTATCTAGCTTTAGTGCCAATTGATACTATTTTATTTATTTATTTGATATATTTATTTTTATATATATTTATTTTATTTTTTGTATATTTGAAATGTGGATGTTTAATGCGTCATAATTTTTTCTATTTGTACATTAAATAGCTTTTGTTGATATCCAATGCTTTCAAAATAATAATAATAATAATAATAATTATAATAACAATAATAAAAATAATAATTAATAATTACTAAATACTAAATAATAAATAATTGTACTAAAAAACAATTATCACTTGATTTTTCCCCCCATAATGTAAGACTCTTATTTTAACTTAACCTTAGCTTTTTTTGTTTGTTTTTAAGGGTTAACTTTTAAGTAAGCAACGTATATATACTTTATTACCAATGTCTTCAATATAAAGTAATTTTAATTATTATAAAGACTTAATGTTAAATACCATAATTATTAATTTTCTTTACATCACTTGATCGCTCATTTACTGTGCAAGCCCAAGCCTGTGTAAAATCATCAACATTAAGCCCGAACCTGACCGCCTCGTCCGGTTTTATCAAAGATCTTCAGCCATAGCTTTTGGTGCACTGTGTACCTGGAGCCACCGAGGTGGCGGTGCCACAATGACTTGGGCCCAGCAATGCTGCTTGCAGCTTTAATTATTCATTCATTCATTCATTTTCTTTTTGCCTCAGTCCCTTTATTAATCAGGGATCTTCACAGTGGAATGAAGCGCCAACTTTTTCAACATATTGTTTACGCAGCGGATGCCCTTCCAGGCGCAACCCATCACTGGGAAACACCCATACACTTTTGCATTTACTGACATACTCTATGGTCAATTTAGCTTATTCAATTCACCTAAAGCACATGTGTTTGAACTGTGGGGGGAAACCAGAGCCAACACAGGGAGAACATGCAAACTCCTCACAGAAATGTCAACTGACCCAGCCGGGGCTAGAACCAGCAACCATCTTGCTGTGAGGTGACAGTGTTACCCACTGCACCACTATAATGCCCGCTTTAAGTATTATTTATGAACATAATAATATATGTTAAGATTATGATATCACTACTGATGATTGACATTTTAGCACACAAAATTGAAGTGTGTTCTCCAGACTGAATGCTATTTGTTTTACCTGCTCAGACGCTACTGAAAGACTGCCAGACAGAGAGTGCTGATTATCTGTTTCTCCACAGGAATCACTAATTACGAGGAGTACTCGCTGATCCAGGAGCAGGTGGAGGAGAAGAAAGAGGACGGGATGGGGACGCTGAAGAAAGACAGAACCCTCCTGCGGGACGAGAGGAAGATGGAGAAGCTGAAAGCCAAGCTTCACACAGATGATGATTGTGAGGCTCCTGGCAACTCTGAAAAAAAACGACAACATCAGCAAACAGAAACAAACCGCCCCGCCAGATTTTACACACACTCAGAGAATCTCACAGCAGCTTCACACAGTCCAAAACCACAGCAGTCACACCATACACTGCAAACAATCAAATGACAAAAGGTCAAGACAACAAATAATTGTATTACTTTGACTTGGATTTAAGTTACATGGCATCAACATGCCAACTAATTCTCATTAGATTACAAGTAGAATGTTGGGGTTTGGGTTTGTGTAAGTTGACATGCACTTGCAAAGTTTCTTATAGTCGGTTAAATGTTTGTTAAATGTCTGCTGAATGGAAGTATCAACAGGTATCAAGCAGACAGTCTACTAATACTCAAATGGACCATCAAAATAAAGTGTTACCATTTTAATAAATTAACCAGGTTTCAACTAAATCCTTTAAGTTATGCAAAGTTTAATTTAATATTATTTCACTACTTATTACTTATTACTACTACAGTAGTTGTTCATGTCATGCGTGACAGAAGAAATGCAGCATCACGTCAACAATCCTAATATGCTGTCCATAATAGAAACATGACATTGAGTGCTAATGCTAAGCTAATCTTTGATTTGTAATGAACTGGCTGGACCACAGTCGGATGTTTTGGGAGCAGGGTGTTGAGGAGAGCTATTGCTTTTGGTACACTGTGTTCCTGAAGTCACCGAGGTGGTGGTGCCACAATGACTTGGGCCCATCAATGCTGCTTGCAGCTTTAATTATTCATTCATTCATTCATTCATTTTCTTTTTGCCTTAGTTCCATTATTAATCAGGGGTCGTCACAGTGGAATGAACCGCCAACTTATCCAACATATGTTTTATGCAGCGGATACCCTTCCAGGCGCAACCCAGCCCTGGGAACCACCCATACACTCTTGCATTCACTCACATACACTATGGCCAATTTAGCTTATTTAGTTGACCTATAGCGCATGTGTTTGGTCAAACTTTATTTTGATGGTCCGTTTGTTGAATTTAACTTACATGGCATCAACATGCCAACTAATTCTCATTAGATTACAAGTAGACTGTTGGGCTTTGGGTTTGTGTAAGTTGACATGCACTTGCAAAGTTTCTTATAGTCGGTTAAATGTTAGTTAAATGTCTGTTGAATGGAAGTATCAACAGGTATCAAGCAGACAGTCTACTAATACTCAAATGGACCATCAAAATAAAGTGTTACCATTTTAATAAATTAACCAGGTTTCAACTAAATCCTTTAAGTTATGCAAAGTTTAATTTAATATTATTTCACTACTTATTACTTATTACTACTACAGTAGTTGTTCATGTCATGCGTGACAGAAGAAATGCAGCATCACGTCAACAATCCTAATATGCTGTCCATAATAGAAACATGACATTGAGTGCTAATGCTAAGCTAATCTTTGATTTGTAATGAACTGGCTGGACCACAGTCGGATGTTTTGGGAGCAGGGTGTTGAGGAGAGCTATTGCTTTTGGTACACTGTGTTCCTGAAGTCACCGAGGTGGTGGTGCCACAATGACTTGGGCCCATCAATGCTGCTTGCAGCTTTAATTATTCATTCATTCATTCATTCATTTTCTTTTTGCCTTAGTTCCATTATTAATCAGGGGTCGTCACAGTGGAATGAACCGCCAACTTATCCAACATATGTTTTATGCAGCGGATACCCTTCCAGGCGCAACCCAGCCCTGGGAACCACCCATACACTCTTGCATTCACTCACATACACTATGGCCAATTTAGCTTATTTAGTTGACCTATAGCGCATGTGTTTGGTCAAACTTTATTTTGATGGTCCGTTTGTTGAATTTAACTTGCATGGCATCAACATGCCAACTAATTCTCATTAGATTACAAGTAGACTGTTGGGCTTTGGGTTTGTGTAAGTTGACATGCACTTGCAAAGTTTCTTATAGTCGGTTAAATGTTTGTTAAATGTCTGTTGAATGGAAGTATCAACAGGTATCAAGCAGACAGTCTACTAATACTCAAATGGACCATCAAAATAAAGTGTTACCATTTTAATAAATTAACCAGGTTTCAACTAAATCCTTTAAGTTATGCAAAGTTTAATTTAATATTATTTGTCATTTTATATAATGACAGTACTACAGTAGCTATGTTCATGTCATGCGCGACAGTAGAAATGTAACGTCACGTCAACAACCCTAATATGCTGTCCATACCAGAAAAAGGACATTGAGTGCTAATGCTAAGCTAATCTTTGATTGGTAGTGAACTGGCTGGACCACAGTCGGACGTTTCGGGAGCAGGGTGTTGAGGAGAGCGAAATATTGCTCCTGCGAAGGAAGTTCTTCTATTCTGACCAGAATGTCGACTCTCGCGATCCTGTCCAGCTCAACCTGCTCTATGTACAGGTAAACAATCATTTCTGTCTTACACTCGTTTGTCTTTTCTGCTATTTCTGACTGACTGTGCGAAATATAAAGCAAAAATCTACATTCATCTATTTTTAACAATGACTGATTCACTTTTAAATGTATACTGTAATGTAGAGATAATTGACGATTGAATCATTTT